CATAATTCAACATTCATCTTTCATTCCCTCAAAACGTGCTTCATGTGGGTTGGGCCATTCTTGCACGAGCAATGCCAAAAAGGAAGAGAAAAAAAGAACGCGGGTCACACCGTCAGGTGTTTTTATTTTGTTGCGACATTTAATACGCGTCCTTCTCCCCCGTGTATACACGAGCGAGCGTGTACATCGTATTTTCCCTTCAACGCGATGGAAAATAACTCTTGCCTTCGAGCGGCGATTCAGCCAGTGGAGCATTCATGTCGGTCGGAGTCACTTGAACTCTAATCCGCAGGCATAAGCTCGAATCTCGCTGGTTAATACCGCCAAAGAGGCGCAGCCAGATGAGGCTATCGGCCTGCCTCTTGAAAATACTACGAGTGGCTGGATAGCGCAATCAAATGTAGCTACAGTTAGCAGGTATTACCAGGTAATCTTGCGTGACTGTTCCTTTTACACTCGCTGCGTATTATCTGCGAACGCGCAGCGGCTCATCGATACATTCGCTCGTGATAATTTTTTTATCAGCATTTCGATCGTTTTGTCGTTATCGCTTTATCCGGGCACAATAATTGACGAGGAGATAACACGGATTATCGGATCGATTTATCGAATAAATACGTTCGCCAACCAAGCCAACGGTCCTTTAATTGATCTCGGATCTTTACGCGTTACTAATTATTCCCTACTCACTGTGATGCACATTTTTGTTATTTTGTTATTTTGTAAACATATATAGAGAGTATTAAAGAGAGAGACTTACAGAATAAATGGCACTCATTATGCTGAGGAAAGAATGTTTAGTAAACACAGGTCGAGAAAGCAACTCTTTCAGAGTTACAAATACTTTTCGGTTTTGGTAACGGAAATGTATGCTTCCATTGATCACGCGCGGTGAAGGAACAAACATGTTTCTTACCATATTGTTACTGTAATGTTTACAAAAAGTGTGTTCTCTTTTATAAATTTCTGCTCTTCCTCAGTTTCATTTCGACACAATAATATTTACGTTACCATCTTGTTTTAGTATAATCATTTGTCTTTATGATTAGTGATCGCACAGTGTTGGTGAGACGCGGCAGCAAAAATCCTTTCAATTACGGTCGGCGTATTAATACTAATCGGGAAATGGCGGACATGAAATAAATGAAAATGTACACAGAGAGAACGATTTATTGATTCAAATAAATGTTTCTTTGGAATAGTCCAAACGAATTATTTGGTTGACACAACAAAGTATTTCTTTGAAACTAAGCTGCAAATAAATATTTTTGTTGTTTCAAACAAAATTTTGTTTGATCAATCGAAAAATTCGTTTGGAATATTCCAAACGAATTTTTCGATTGATCAAACAAAATTTTGTTTGATCAATCGAAAAATTCGTTTGGAATATTCCAAAAAAGCGTTTATTTGATTCAACCAAATTGTTCTCTCTATGTATAGATGCATTTCATGTATGGTCTTGTCAATAGAAGATATTTTAGCTGCACGACGTTTTTCTAAAAACGTTGTAAACATTAAAATAATAAAAAGATAATAATATGGTAAGACACTCGTTCGTTCGTTCGTTCACCGCACGTGACTAGCAGAAGCGCACCAATAATTTGCGTCACCAAAACTAAAAAGAAACATTTGCAATTCCAAAAGAATTTACATTTCGATCCATACGGAAAGAACATTTGGTTAGGTTAACCAAATATTTGGTGAAACATAAACGAGCTACAGAATTCAGGTTGAAGTTATTGCAGAATTCTGTTCAAGTAAACGAGATCTCTGGTTAGCTGGAAATCTTGTTTGGTTAACCAGAATCTTGTTAACTTGAACAGAATTCTCGTAACTTCACCGGAATTCTGTGGTTTGCTCATACTCCACCACAGACATTTGGTTGATCCATCCAAACTTTTTCTTTCGCATATTTTTATCAAGCAATTTTTACTCAAACAATTTATTGTAATGAATATTATCTATCTACAAATACCATCTACTTTATGAGTATTATCTATCAATACTACGAGTACTATTCAGTTATGAATACTATTATTTGTGAGTCTTGAGTGTTTTTTGAGAAGAGCTTGTAATGAAAATAACATGAAAACATATGTCTCTACTTTTAACAGGAGGATGGCAAGCGCCAGGTGTCCCGTTGGCCGCCCGGAAGCTTACAAGAGAGCTCACGTGGGAAGAAACTCGGTGACCGGCGAAGCCGTGAGGCAATTCCACGAACAGTGATGGTAAGTTTTTATCAAGAGCCGACGTAAAATCTAGTAGCCAGACACGCGGATATCGAGTGGGCGTAGAGTGGGCGTCTCGGCGAGATTACGCGTGTGTTATGCGCGATATTCTAATGAGGCGGTTCTTCGCGCGCATTTACTCAAATGGGTTAAAACTGCGGTTATTTGCGGTGCACTTGAATCGAATTGGCCTGCCGTTTGCATAATCTTCCCCGTCGCCCGCGTTCACACCTTTCTCTCACCGGAGATCTCTTCTCTTCCTTGCGACTCATCCCGCCGCGTCTTTCCACTCCCGACCCCAACCTCCTGAAGAGATCGCCTTCTTTTTCCCCGTCCCCGGGCACATTTCCCGTTCGCGAAAACGATCGGCGTTTCTTTGTTCGCGCCGGGGGAGGGGGAGGGGGGGCGCACATTTAGAATCCACGATCGCGCGTTTGATTTATACCCGATCGACGGATCGAATTTCACGACGAATCGCCCACTTCGCCCGCCAACGAAAACCCCGATTACAGCTAGCGTGGTCAGCGTGGGCGATCGTCGACGAATCGTCTCAATTACGAGTTCTTGTCGGATTGGGTGCCCGCAGATCGACTGCGTTTACGCGAGCACATCGTCACTGGCGACGTGGAGGACGGCGACGTCGACGTCACATACACGGGGAATACGTGTTAGGAGGGAACAAATGACGCATCATGATCGCCTTGAATTTTGCACGTAACGGATCTGAATAAATTCCTACAGTCGGGAAGAAATTGCCGGTCTTGTTCCTGACGTACCGAGATTGCGAGATTGTTTCCGCGCGTAGCGTGAAATAAAAATATTTGTTTCGAGAAATTTATAGGTCTTTGATCGCACGCGCGCACGCGCGAATATATTCTTCCCATGGGGGATTTTTCGCCGCGCGGCGCGCAATCCCCCGAAGCGCCTTATGGCGCTTAAATTAAAATTCAAGATCTCCGGGAAGGCCGCTCGTGCGTGCGGAATCGTGGCTGCGGGGAATCGAACACGGGCGAGGCGAAATGCGATAACGCACAGCAGATCAGATCTAATCCGGGTTCCGCGGTCGGACGTAAAATCGCTTCGTTTCGCGCCGCGAGAGCGCGCACTACGGCGCGCACAAAGCGACGACCGTTAATATCCGCGGTAATTGTCCACCGCGCGCGTTATTAATACAACTTAATTACTGGTAAGCAATCTGTGGCGTGCGGCTTGTATTTGCGCAGCGGTCCCAGTCGCGCCGCGGGTTGTAATAGTCCTGATGAATCCGCGTGTGCGACGTGCCCGGACATTTTGCGGCGCGAATTACATCGGTAACGCTAAGTTTGTCACGTTACGCGGGTCGACGCGAAGTTCTCGTTAAATTGCTCCTGCTCCCGCTTGCGATCCCGAAATTCATGTATATGCTCTCTGTGTATATATACATTTATATATACATTTATATGTGTGTGTGTGTGTGTGCGCGCGCGCGCGCACATGCATGTACGCAACATTGTATATTGCTCAAAGTGAAAATTTCCCGGCGGGCGTTCGCTTTAAACGTCGCTGAATATTTATGATCGCAATCTCTTTTCAGCCTACGGTAAAACGAGGTTTACCTTCGTAATAGCGATGGGGGTGCGCGGTATCCGCGATGACTTTAATAACTAGTTAGCGTATTAATTACGTTACTTTGTCACCGTTAATTTACCTATTAAGCACTTATCGGCGGAGTGACGTGTAATGCGGGCGGTGCGATTATTCATTATGCTAATTGCGCGTAGTGCCGCAGAGAGATAAATCTTATTCGGATCGTCGGCAACGCCGGCGATCTCGCGTGACATTTAAACATTTGTGCAGAATTGCCCTCCTCGGTCCTATTCCGGCAGACTCTCCCGGCGATCTCGTGTCCGCCGATTTTGCGGCAGCAGTTCGCGATCGTAGGATCTCGAATTGCCGGGATTAAGAATGAAAAGTATATTCTACGAAAAGAAATTCAAGGCCAGGTCTGAAAGAGATTAAAGTTGCGTAGCGGTTGAAGGGCGCCATGTGAATCGTGAAACGGGCATTGAAAGTAAGGGAGAAAAGTGTGGATTACACAGCGAGACAGACAGAGAGAGAGAGAGAGAGAGAGAGAGAGAGAGAGAGAGAGAGAGAGAGAGAGAGAGAG